AAATAGCGGGACGAACATAGACTTGAAGGAAAATAAATGACCGGTTTTAAGAAAAATGTGGTATTTTTCCCCTACAAACAAACTGTTCTCCGTTTTTTGAAAAGACATTGCAAAAAGAGCGACAAATTCGTGACTCTGAGAAAATTTCTGAAAAAAAATATAACACTGAGCTCATTTCGTCAAGTTTAAATTTTTTGATAAAAATGTTGGAGGGGCCGGGATAAAAATATCTTAGCTTATCTTAGCAAATACTAGCCCCGCCCATACGCCCTCTAATTTTTTTAAACGGTATATCATTAGCCAAAATCAGTCCTATTTTAGCAAGAACTAGTCCCGCCCACCCGCCCTCTATTTTCTTATAAGGTGTGTCATTTGCCAAAATCAGTGTTATAATACTAGCAAGCACTAGTTTATTATATCGAGTATAATATTTTTTAAATGTGTTTTTGCATTTCGTTATATATATCATCTAATGCGCATATAAATAACAGTAGACTCAATCCCCTCCCTGTCTTATTCCTTTCACTGTTTTAAGGGGTACTAATGTTCTGTTTCGTGTCCTAATTAAGTTGGTTGTGGTTTCGTATAGGCGTTTTATTGTTCTTATTAAATCTAGGTTTGCTTTTTTTTTCTTTAAAACTTTTTCCGATCTATTCTCTTTTAATTGGTTTGCTCATATCTATAAAGCTTTTTTTTTAGATAGCGCTTTTTCCATTATTTTATTCAATGTAAATATGTGATCTTGATTTAGTTTGATTCTTCTGTATTATGCGTCGCTTAATTCTTCTTGTGTTATTTGTTCCTGATTTTGTTCTTCTGTCGTATTTTCATTCATTTCCCAGTTTTTGTTTATTGCAATCTCATTAGCGTCGTCTTTCTTTAATAGTTCTTCGAAGTCCTGTTTCCACCTTTTTATCATTGTTGTTTCTTTCGTATTTCTTCTGCTGTTTTGTTCTAAAGTATGCCCAAAATTTTTCCCACCTTCTCTTTCTTGCCTCTCTGATGTATTGCTTTTTATATTTCTTTACCGTTTTATCTCTGTTTGTTACTTTCATTTTTTATATGTTCGCTTCACCTTTAATTATTTCATATATTTCTTCTGCACCGTTAATAAGGGTGTCTTTAAAAAGTTCTACTATTGTTCTAGGTTTTTATTATGTGCCATTTCTTTTTATTTCATTTTATCTTCCACCTTTTCTATATGCTTCCGTCTTCTTTCAGTATCTCTTAATTTATGTATTTTTACTCTCTCTTTGTTTACTCTATCTCGTATGTTGCTTTCATTCTAACATATTTCTTAGTTTTTCGTAAAATTCTTTTTTCTCTTGAATTCTACATCATCACATCTGGGTCGTAGGATATTTGTTGGTTCCGTTGCTACTTTTGTTAATTCTTCATTGATATTTTCCAAGTTTATATTGATTTATAATAATAAGTTTCTTTTAACATGTTTTTTTTTTTTGTTTTTGTGAGGGCAAATATTTCAGTTTTGTTTTCTCTATTTCTTTGATGACTTCTGTCTATTTCTCTTATGTTCCTAGTCCTAGTCCAGATATTTGTTTTGTCAATTAGACGCCCCGAGCGTAAGCGAAGGAAGTATTGTAATCGAGTCCGTCGACCGACTGTCTACTTTTACATTTTCTCGACCTTTCATGACCTCTACAGTAAGAAGAAATAGGTCTCCCGTTTCCGTTCGTCTGTCTGTCTGTCTATCCGTCCGTCTGTCCGTCTGTCTGCCGTCTGTTCGGATTTTTATTAGACAGATAATCTCTGGACCGATTGTTGTCAAATTTTATATATGTATTATGAATATTATGTAGATGGCAAAACGCTAACCAAAATTTGTCTAATCATCCCCACCAATAATGTGATGACGTCACTTCAAATTTGTACATAGTAAATGAGTTTTAAATTTTATAAAATAACATGGTCTGCATATGTAGTTTATGACTCCGAAATTTTCAGATTTTTGTAAAAAACATCAAAATTATAAAACAACATTTTGCAATTTAATTTTGAATCTGCAAAACCGAATGCTTTGAAATTTTGCATATATTTTAAAGTTCTGATAAGCATGATAAATTTTTAATCAAAATGTATTTACTCATCCCCTTCAAAAAATTCATGACGTCAGCTCAAAATTTTGCCGAATAAATCTTATCTAAATTGTCCAAAATATGATGATTTGTGATTTATCATTCCATTCTTATTTTTGGCATTTACTTATACCGAGTGACAAAAAAATTAATGAATGGTTAATCAGGAACTGCAGAACGGAATGTTTTGAAATCTTGGAGATGTTTTAAAGTTATCATAAGCGTGGTAAATTTTTGGTCAAAAACGTATTTGTTCATCCCCTCTAAACAATTGATGACATCACCTCAAGATATTGCTCAATAAATCCTGTCTATACTTGATTTATCACTGCATTAATTTTTTTTTTGATTTGCCTGCACAGCGTGTCTTAAAAAAATTAATGTCTGAGTCTATTTACTTTATTGATTAAATCAAGAATTGTAAAATTGAATACTTTGAAATCTTGCAGACGTTTTAAAGTTATTGTAACCATGGTAAATAATTAATCCAAATATATCTATAATATGAAAAATGAGAGAACGGGTGGGTGGGCGGGGCTAAGTTTAACTTTTTCCTACATAATCTCTTATAAGCAAGCATTAGTTCCGCCCACCAGCTCCCTCTTTCTTCCAGTGATTACTCTTAATACTGTTCAGTCATTTACTAAAATCAATTTTATCTTAACAAGTAAGTACTAGCCCCGCCCACCCGCCCTCTCTTTTCTTACATATTAAAGAATTTTTTATAATGTCTTTGGGGCTCCCGAAACCCCGTACATAACTTACTGAAGAGTTAATCCGCTATTTTCCAGACACCCGGTATACACTCACATCTATGCGGCTTTATATTTTGAAAGGGAATAAAGATATTCAAATTCCGTAAATGCCATTGTTTTTAGCTTGAAGAGGCAGCCCAATTCAGATTAGTTCCAAAATTAGCGCCAATTTCTGAGTCACGTTATCCCCAGAAACTAATAAATCTTATTTTACTATTTTTTGAGAACCTGTGACTGTCTAAATTATTATATACAGTCAAAATTATGCCATCTTATATTTTGAAAGAGAATAGAGATATTTAATTTCGTTAACGCCAATGCTTTTAGCTTGAAGAGTAAGCTCTCTCTAATTCAGGTTAGTTCCAAAATTAGCGCCAATTTCTGAGTTACCGTTATCCCGAAAAAATGAATAAATATTATGTTACTATTTTTGAGAACTTGTGACTATCTAAATTATTATTATACCGGGTGTCTGTCATTTGCCAAAATCACTCTTATCTTAGCAGGTACTAGCCCCGCCCACCCACCCTCTCTTTTCTTAGAGGTATGTGATTTGCCAAAATCTGTCTTATTTTAGCAGATACTAACCCCCGCCCATGCCCCCTCTATTATCTTAGAGGAATCTCATTTGCCAAAATCGGTCTTATTTTAGCAGATACTAGCCCCGCCCATGCGCCCTCTCTTTTCTTAGAGGGATGTCACTTGCCAAAATCAGTCAGATCTTAGCAGGTACTGGCCCCGCCCACCCACCCACCCTCTCTTTTCTTAGAGGGTATGTGGGTCTTATTTTAGCATAATTATAATTATGCATGTGCTAAATTCTAGAACAATAATTAGTCTTGTAATTGTATTTTTTTTTCCAAAAATTTGAACATACAGAGCTCAAAATATGTGTGAACCACAAAATGAAAAATTTTTTGCTGCTAAAAATAAGGGTGGGAAATTTTGAAAATACATAAAACTGTTGGCGAGATTAACGAATAAATTTGGTTGGCGTTTCGACATCTATAGGAAGAAAATACATTTCAAATTCTTAATTCAGTGTCAAATTATACCACGGATATACAGCATGAACAAAACTTTCTTTGGATCGAATAGTAAAATAGTGAAAATGTTTTTAATTTGCTAATATTTTAGAATATTTGTCAATAACTCAAAAGATTATCTCTCAGGTACTTTGCACGCCGCGTATTTAACTTAAACTAAAGGATGTGACAGTTCGATTAAGTAAAGTTTATTAGGTATACAAATATTTTAAAGAAATCGTTTTTTGACATCCTGTGTATTAATAATATAATATTCTTCTTCTTTAACGAATACATACTTAATAAAATAATACATACAGCAGCTAACAAAATATCCTGTCTGGAAGAAGTTTGTTAGCTGAGCATTTTTCTGTCAAAATTTTTGAATGTGGGTAGATGTTGAAAATGAGTTTTAAGTATTAAGGGATGCAGTAAAACTTGTTTTCTAATTTAAAAAGTATTTCTGATGCATTTGGACTGTTATAGCACTTTAGAAAAAAGTTTGAAAATTATATTAATAATAACTGTAGCGAAAATTTAGTTGACAGCCGGTGTTCAGTTGAAAAAGCTATCCAGTAGGTGTTTTAAATATTAACCCATACTGTTGAGTGTAATTGACATTTTACAGACTTGTTGAAAGGCGGTAGTTTTATTATTCGAAAAAGTGAGGTTAAGTTGTACCATTCCGCATTGTCAGTTGTCAGCGATTAAATTTTGAGTCTATAGCAGACATACTTCACAATGTTGACAAAAAAACAAGGCCAACTTAAAAACCTTTTAACTGATCACTCGATATACATAGCACAGAATGCAGTTTTAAATGTTTGAATTGATATCACACAAGTAATATTCTGAACAGTTACAGAGTAATAGTGATGTCAACCAAAATAGCATTGTTAGTACACAGAACCCAATGACATTCGCTATACAAGTTTAACCGTGCTACAATTAATTCAGAATATGTGGAAAATTAAATTTGTACTTCGCCTGTGATCACACCTCATCGGTTCTAATTATCTTTGCTGATAATCGTAACCTTGGTAATGGCGTGGTGCTAATTTAACCAAACTAACTACTAGCTAAACTAAATTTCATATTTTACTAAAATAACTTTTGATTTACAGATCAAAGCGCCGTAAGGACTCTCTTAAGTGGGTAAGTTTTATAAATTGCATTCGTCAGGTCAGAACGCAGTTTGAGCAAAATGATCCTTATGAAATTATGAGTATTTGTTGGTTTTATGCAAACGATGCGTTTCCAATTTGTAATTTAAAAGCTGGTTTTGTCAATACTAGAACACATAATTGGTAAACTGGACGCGTTACTAAATAATTTGTTCTGATTAGTTCTCTCTGTTTGTTCCGATATGCAATAGTGTGCAAATTTTATTTTCTATTAAATGAATTTTAATACTCCACGATCGAAAAAAAAAGGAATTAGAGTTGGTTTTGCTTTTAAAATTTTAATTAATATTTACGCTCTTGCGGTACTTTTACGCTGAGATTAATGGTCTACAACTAAATCTAATCCTTTTTTTTTGATCCCGCGGTGGAATAAATCAACATGAATGATGCAGCAGTCACAAGCATCCCTCTACATGCAGCAACGCTTTTAGTTCTCTGATATTCATTACTCTAACTTTTGCATTGTGCCAGACCAATTAGAACCATCTCATTCAATATCGATCCTTGATCCAATCCACACATTTATAATAGAACAAGTCTCGTAACAGTTGCAAGTTATAATTAACTGGTGTGTTGTTTGGGGGTAGAACATCCCTTAGCAACAAAAGTGGCACGCATGATGGCTGTTAAAGCGTAATTTCCTGGGAACTATCCTGTCATCGCCATTAATTTAAATAAGAACATAAAACACAAATGTGTTCGGCTCGAAGTCGCAACGTTGCAAAAACTCGACTGATGCAATCCAAACGAAAAAGTTTCAGAGGGTGAGTTAGATGATGGGGTGTTTGCACGTCTCGTTTGCGCGCTAATTTCGCCTGGCAATCTGATTTCGATTGCTTCATTCGGAACGGTCGTTACCTGCAAGTGCTATTGTCGGGGTGGGTAATAAATGTTAATAAGGGGTGAAGTGGTGTAATGGGGTGGGGTGTTTTGACGGCCGGAGTTTAGGGGGTTTTAAATAGGTGCTTTCATTTGGACTATTGAGACTCACGTTATATTTTGGGTTGTAATAAAACGGACCTGGGTTTAACAAGAATTAGCTAATATTGGTACTTTAAGTGAATTAAGTTGAAGTTTTGGGTGAGAATTGCAGAAATAATTTCGAGTTTGCTGTATCGTATCACTTTTTAAAATCACTTTTATGTAAAATAAAAAATACTCAAAGCTGTGAAACAGAAGGTTTTGAAAGTATGAATTTTTTATTCACCTTTAATAAATTTCGTTAAATTTTACTCAACGTTTCGTGATCCGGATTATTATCGATCGTCTGTAACCTTTTTGTATTTATTTCTTTGCATGATCGTTTGATCGTAATTGGATAGAACATTATTTGGAGTTCTTTTAAATTTTTACTTTCCGAGCGTAACTTAAGGAATGTTGTAATTGAATCCATCGCGACTGGTTAATTCTATGTTTTCTCGACGTTCCATGACCCTTGGGGTATGAAAACATTTTTCTCTTGCTTCGGTCTGTCTGTCTTTCGTCTGCCGTCTGCCATTTCTCTGCGTCTGGGTCGTATTTATTAGACAGATAATCTTCTAAACTACCAGACCGATTGTCAAATTTTGTACGTATTTTAGGAATATCCGTCATGTCCAACTTTTACAAAAGTAAATGTTATTTAAATTTTATAAAATAACATACTCCTCCAGTTGTATTTTATGAATCCGTGTTGAGTTTTTAGCATTCAGATTTTTGTAAAAAAAAAATCAAAATTGAATGAGAACATTTTACAATTTAACTTTGAAATTTCAAAACCAAAAATGCTCTGAAACCTTGCAAACGGTAAAACATGGTAAATCGTTAATTAAACGTTATCCATTTACGAGCGAATAAATTCCTGAATGTGTGATTTATGAATCCATCTTGAGTTATTATGCTACACCTGCAGATTTATGGAAAAAAATCAAAATTGTGTAATAGCTAATAACATTTTGCAATTCAACTTTGAAATTGCAAAACCGAATGCTATGCATATGTTTTAGGGTTAAAAATTAAAAAATCGGAAAATTTAAAATCGGAAAAATAAAGTCGCAAATAACTCAAAAATGAGAAAAATCGAAAAATTGAAAAACTGAAAAATCGAAATATTGGAATTCGAGAACGTAAAAATCGAAAAATAATTCAAAAATCGCACAATTCGAAAAACTGGAAAATTGAACGATGGAAAATCGCAACAACGAAACATGGAAAAGTTAAAGAATAGAAATTCGAGAAATTGAAAAACGAAAAATTGAAAAATCGAAAAGTTAAAAATTGGGCGAAGGAAAATTGCAAAATTGAAAACGAAAGATGGAAAAAACAAGTAAAAATTCGAAAAAATCCAAAAATTGCAACAATGAAACACTGAAAAGTTCAAGAATTGAACTTCGAAAAATAGAAAATTGGAAAATTGAAACATTTCAAAATCCAAGTATTAATTGAAAAATCTAAAAATTGTAAAACCGTAAAACTGAAGGAACGAAAAATGAAAAAATCGTAAAACTAAAAATTGAGGGAGGAAAAATCCCGAAATTTAAAACAATGAAAAATTAAAATATCTACACTTTGAAAAATCGAAAAATTTGAATATGAGAACGTTAAAATCGAAAAATAATTCAAAAATCGGAAGAATCCATAAACTAAAAAATTGAAAAATAGAAAAATGGAACAATGAAACGTTGAAAAGTTCAAGAGCTGAGCTTCAAGATGAAAAATCGCAAAATTGAAAATAACGAAAAATTAAAAATTGAAAAATCTAAAAATAGTTGAAAACTCCGAAAAAAATCGAAAAATCGCGTAACTAAAAACAACGAAAAATTAAAATATCTATAAATTATGAACTTGAAAAAGTGAGGAATCCAAAATCGAAAAATTCAAAAATTGAGGAATTAAATAATCAAAAATTGAAAAATCGAAACAACGAGAAATTGACAATGAGAAACCTAAAAACTAACACTGAAATATCGAAAAACTGAAAAATTAAAAAATCTACTAGGTATGTAAAAATTTGAAAAATTGAAAATTCGTAAAGCCCAAGAAACGAAAAATTAAAGAATCAAAAATTAAAATTAAAAAATCAAAATATCGCAACGTTGAAAAATCGAAACAAGAATGAAAATTTTAAGTATTTAAAATTTGAAGAATTGCAAATCGAAAAATAAAAATTAAACACAAAAATTTTGGAAATAAAAGTTGCAAAATTAAAATCGAAAAGTTAATTTAAATAGAATAAACTTTTATTTAACTTGATTTATTACATTGTTTAGTTTGGTTTATGTAATGAACGCTTTCCATAAATTAATTATCGGTAATTATTTAAAAATCTAAAAATTTAAATCGAGAAATTGAAAAATTAAAAATCGAGAAAATCGAAAATGAAAAATTTGAAAAAGACTAACAATTAAAAGTTGAAAAATCAAAAGATCAAAAATTAAAATATTTAATAATTACATAAACATTAAATTACTAAATTAAAATCGATGGGTTTAAAAAGTGCAAAATAATTCGAAAATCAGAAAAATCGAAAAACTGAAAAACTGAAAAATGGAAAAATTGCGACGATGAAACATCAAAAAGTTTAAGAATTGAAATTCGAGAGACAAAAATCCAAAAATTAAAAATAACGAAAAATTAAAACAGCTAAAGATTGTGAAGCAGAAAATATTTAATCGGAAAGATCGAAACACTAAAAAATTGAACATCGAATACTTCGAGAATTGAAAATTGAAGTTTGAAAAATTAAAAATCTAATAATTGCAAATTCTGAAGATTCATAAAATCTTAAAATTCAAGGAAGAAAAAGTGGAAAAGTCGAAAAACTAAAAATTTAAAGACGAAAAATCGCGAAATTGAAAACAACGAAAAATGAAAAACTAAAAATTTAAAAATTTTGAAATAGTTGCAAAATGAGAAAAAAATCGACAAAATAAAAAACCGAAAAATGGGAAAACTCAATAAGATTGAAGGACGAAAGAGCGCAAAATTAAAAACAACGAAAAATTCAAATATCTACAAATCGTGAAGTCGAAAATTATTAAATCTAGAAAATAAAAATTGAAAAAATTGAAAAAGTGAAGAATCCAAAATCGAAAAATTCGAAACTGAAAGATTAAATAGTCAAGAATTGAAAAATCGAACCACCGAGAAATTGACAACGAAAAACCTAAAAACTGTAACACTGAAACATCGAAAAGGAGAAAAATTAAAAAAATATACTACATATGTGAAAAATCGAAAAACAAAAAATTCGTAAAATTGAAGAAACGAAAAACTAAAAATCCAGAGACTAAAAGTCGAAAAATTTAAATAAATGAAAGTTAAACACAAAAATTGTGAAAACGAAAAAGAGCGAAATTAAAATCGAAAGTTAATTTAAATTGAATTAACTTTTATTTACATTTTCTGCTTAGTTTGATATATATAAAGACTTTCCACAAATAAATTAATGATTTAAAAATCTAAATTTACATCGAAAAACTCAAAAATAAAAAATCGATAAAATGTATAGCGAAAAAATTTAAGAATGTAAAAAGGCCAAAAATTACAATATTTAATATTTGCAAAAACGTAAAATTACTGAATAAAATTCGAAAAACAAAAGTCGACAGTGAAAAATTTAACCATATAATAAAATAACAAAATCGTAAAATTGAGGAAGGAAAAATTTAAAATTCGGAAACAAAAAACAACTGCTTGTTCCCTGTAGATATAAACCCTGAAAAAGATTGTTGTTCCATTTTTACCTCCCGAGCGTAAATTAAGAATCTATTGTGATCGAGTCCATCGGGAGATTGCCTACTTTTGTGTGTTCTAGACGTTTCATGACCTCTTGAATGCGAAAATATAGGTCTCTCGTGTGCGTCTGTCTGTCTGGGGTCTGCGGTGTGTCGTCTGCTCCTCTCCGCGTCTGTGTCGATATTTATTCGACAAATAATCTCCAAAACTACTGAACCGATTGCTGCAAAATTTTGTGCCCAGATTAGGAATATT